GTGCGCGGGACTCGGCGCGGGCAGGACGGGACGTCCCGCGCGATGGGAGCGCTGGAAAATGGCTATCGGGAAGGAGCTGGGCCGGGGCGGGGGACTCGCTCCGGCTTTCGGCACGCTCTGGATCAGCTTCAGCTCAGCTCGGGAAAACTTTAAAAGCCCAGCGTAAGCATCACCTCGGCTCGGTGGTGTCTAAATATACCATTCAGCATCCCGGATAATTCTTGCCCTCGGTTAATTAGGGAAACACTTGACAGGCGACGAGCTTTTTCTATAGAAGGCTGTTGGCAGGGAGACGCGCGGCGGAGGGTTGGCGAGCGTCCCGTGCGAGATCCTTCCGCCAAACAAACGGGTGCGGGGTGTTCCAGGGCAGGCGCCAAGAGCCGGTTTGGGAAGATGGCCCTGCTCTGGAAAGCGCTTGTGTCTGCTCCTAATTTTAAGCGAGTCCGGTGAAAGCGAAGCGCCGTGCTGCGTGTGAGCGTCTTGCTCTGCCTCCCCAGCGCATTTACTACCTGTCCCTGGAGTTCTACATGGGCCGCACGCTGCAGAACACCATGGTGAACCTGGGCCTGCAGAACGCTTGCGACGAAGCCATTTACCAGGTGAGGTCTCGGGGTATCGGGGTCCCTCCCGAGGTACTGGCCAGGCTTCTCCATGTGGATATTTCTCAGGGCTTCCTCCTGAGGATGAGTTGTTTTGGCTAACAGCGAGGCTTGGCTCTCCGTTGGTGTTTTTCATCCCCCAGAGAAGACCTTGGGGGGATCTTGGGGTTTCTTGGGAGCTGGAGTATGGTTTTCTCCAACCACTGTTTTCCTGTGGTGGCTGGGAAAATCCACAAAAGCATCCAGAAAGCGACACCCAGTATCCCAAAAGACTAGGGAGTCCCAGGCTGCAAGTAGCTTTCCATGACGAGGAGACGACAGCTCATCGTGGGAGATGCAGTGTAACGGGGGAGGCTGGGCCTGGGGGGGAAGCGGGAGCGTCACACCACAGATGACAGGTCATAGCGCAGGTACACAAAGCACCGCAGCAGCACTGCCAGAGGAGTCAATCGCTGGGAAGGAACAAGGCAGGGGAGGCTTTATTTGCCCCCTCCTCTTCCCCCCGGCCCACCGGATCGATCCATGTTACCCTTTCTGGGAAAAGCTGGGCTCTGTCACCGTCCCTCAAAACGAGGTGTCACAATGGCAGATGTAACATCCCGGCCAGCGCTTCCCCTGCCAAGGGACGGGAAGAGATTTCCAGGGAGGGACCTGACACGTTTCCTCCCTGAGGTAACGTGCCTTGGAAGGCAGGCTGGTGTTTTTCAGGGAAGATCCTCGAGTCCCTGTGCAAGACATTTTCCACGTGCCGATTTGGCCCAGCGTGCGAGCGGAGGGGTCCCTCGCTGCAGCCTCTGGCACGTGGAGCTCATCGTGGCTGGTGGCCAGCTGGGATGGGAGGTCTCGTCTCCAGCCTGGCTCTCTCACGGAGCAAGCTCTCCTCGGTTTTCACGACCCTGACACGCTGTGCGCGAGGCTTGCGCGGTTTGTGGCTGGAGCCCGCTGGGAGAGCAGCCGTGGTGTCAGCCTGACCCCCCATGCTGTTCCCCTGGCACAGAGGTGAGATCCTGCTGCCCTCCAGGAGTCCTTGCTGCCGGCACACGTAGCCTTCATCCGGCAGCAGCCCCCGGGCCAGAGGACTCATGGCTGGGGAGATGCAGCAGAGGAGGCGACCGCTTCCAGCCGTGGACTCGGGCCAAGGAGGTTGGCGGCAGGCTTGGGCAGGATGCGGGAAGGCACGGAGCGTAACAGGGAAGGCTGCCAGCGTGGTCATGTCCTTCCTCAAGGAG